AGTTTTGGAGTTGATTTAATATTTTTAATTAATTTTACAAAGCCAGATACATAAATTTTCAGAATGCTGAATTTAGGGGTATTTTGGTCTTTTCAGCCTATAACGGCTAGTAACGACTAGTTTTTGATATTTTTGGTTTTTGAGAGTTTGTGGCTGGTTTAAGAGGGTATAAAAGCCCTCAACTTTCATTGTTTCTTATGGATGTTTAAGAGAGTTTTAAAAAGAGTTTTACAAGTGCTATATTGTGCTTAATTGTTAAATCACTTTGTAATACTCTTGTACACCGAGTGAGGAGTGTGTGGTGAGAGTCGGGGATCGTCCCAAGAGGAGTGGCGTCGGTTGACGTGCCTAGGGAGAGGTTGTAACCGAGCACTTGAGGGAGACACGGCTAGGTCCAATACTTAGTGGGTGTAGAGTGTGATTGCAAGAGTGTGAGTTGTAGAGTTTTCGGTTAGCTAGAAAACCGAGTGTGTAGAAGAAGTTCCGGCTTCCAAACCGGATTGTGTTAGTGGATTTCTCCCCGGGAGTGGGGAGCGGAGACGTAGGACGGAAGGTCCGAACTCCGTGATCATATAGTGTGTTTGAGTGTGCTTTGGCGTTCATTTATATTTATGTTCATATCTTATATCGCCATTGTCCATAGCTTATTATTTATATGATCCACTATTTAGTTCATATTGTTTACCCCTTGTGTTAGTTTACATATCCTTGCATATATCATATTGTATATCTCCTTGGTAGGATATATCACATTGTGTTAGTTTTATATCCTTGCACATACATTGTCTATATCTTTTTGTTGTTCATATTGCTTATCCTAGCTTACATATCTTGTTGTATTTCATACTTGCTAGGATAACTTATTAGCTTACATATCTTGTTGTATTTCATACTTGCTAGGATAACTTATTAATTAATTTTAATTAGCATTTAATCGGATTAGATTAGCATAAGACCCTAATCACCCCCCTCTAGGGTCTAACAGATTCTACACCAGACTACATGCCCATACACACCAGCTCAGAATAGGATAGCAGAGAGGAAGAACAGACATCTCCTAGAAGTTATTAGGAGTATGATGATGGCGATGAATGTCCCAAAGATGTTGTGGGGATAAACAGTCTTGACTGCGGCTCACTTAATCAACAGGATGTCTTCGAGTGTGTTGGAGTGGAAGTCTCCTCGTGAGACGCTGAAGGGAGATAACGGGGGGCCCTACCATTGAAGGTATTTGGCTGTGTGTGCTTTGTGAAGGACAACGGACTATCGATTAGGAAGCTAGACCCCAGTGTTGTGAAGTGTATATTCGTGGGATACAAATGACACCCAGAAAGGGTATGTCTGTTGGAGCCCAGTAGAGAAAATGTTGTTTGTTAGCATGGATGTGCGGTTTCGGGAGCTCGAGCCGTACTACACAGTGGGGGTTACTTCATCTTTTGACGACTTGCCCGATACTAGAGGTATGAGGCGAGAGGGGAGAATGGTGAGAGCTCAATGGGGTCAATCCCAAGTTCAATTCCGTACTCAGAGGAGGAGGATGAAGACGAAGAGGAGGAGCCTGAGACAATGGGTGTTAGGCCTACAGCTCAAGGAGAATTGCTTACATACAGTAGGAGGGGGAATGAGCCAGAGGTGTCTACAGTGCCAGTGCCAGTGCCTAGTCCCTCGTTCAGCTCTGCTCCAACTCCTGAGACACCTACACTACCCTCCACGTCAGGTAATACCATCCCTACTCCTACCCCTCTCCCCACACCAATGTCAGTAAGGAGGACTACTCGCAGTAATGCGGAAAATCCTCCTGAGAGATATGGTTGGGATCTAACTTAATTTATTCTATTCTCACATATCCCCTTCATATGGAGCATTCATTGTATCATTAGATTCTGTTATTATACCTAACAACTGACAGGATGCTAAGAAAAACCCAAAGTGAAAGGCAGCTATGTATGAGGAGCTGAGGGGCTCTTGAGAAGAACCACACGTGGGAGCTAGCGACACTGTCAGTAGGGAAAAGAGCAGTTGGATGCAAGTGGGTGTATACCGTGAAGCAAAACCCAGAAGGGAAGGTTGAAAGATACAAGGCATGACATGTGGCAAAAGGGTACAGCTAGACATACGGCATTGACTACGATGAGACTTTTGCACTAGTGACGAATATGAGTACTGTTCGGACGCTGATTTCTCTGACAGCAAATGGTGGATGGGAACTACACCAACTGGATGTGAAGAATAAGTTTCTTCATGGAGACCTAGTGGAAGAGGTATATATGAAGATACCACCTGGATGTGGCATAGGACAGACAGTGGATAAGGTATGCAGGCTGAAAAAGTCTCTGTATGGACTGAAGCAGTCCCCTCGAGCATGGTTTGACTGGTTCAGGAGAGTCATGGTTAGTATGGAATACAGACAGATCAATGTCGATCATACTGTATTCTTCAGAAGAAGTGGGGATCACACCACTATGCTGACAGTGTATGTGGATGACATGATCATCACAGGGAATGATGAGAAAGAGATTGCTTACCTCAAAGTAAGATTGAGCAAAGAATCGAAGTGAAGGATCTGGGTCAGTTTCGATACTTTCTTCGGATAGAGATAGCTCATGGACCTAAGGGGATTGTTCTCTCCCAGAGAAAATATACACTGGATCTTCTTGCAGAGACGGGGATGTTGGGGTGCAAACCTGCTGCTATACCGATTGATCAGAGTTTCAAGCTGAGTACTGAGGCAGGAGAACCTGTTGATCGTGAGAGATATCAGAGATTGGTGGGCAGGCTTAGCTATCTGAGTCACACACGTCCAGACATCTCATTTGCGGTAAGCGTGATGAGCCGCTACATGCATGATCCGAGGAAGGCTCATATGGATGTAGTATACCAGATACTAAGGTATCTGAAGGGTGCCCCTGACAAAGGACTAAGATTCAGGAGGAGTGGTCATGTGAACATTAAGGGCTATTGTGACTCAGATTGGGCTAGCTGCGAAGATGGTCGGAGGTCTACCTCAGGGTATTGCATATTTGTAGGAGGCAACTTAGTCTCCTGGAAAAATAAGAAGCAATTTGTGATGACGAGATCAACAGCTGAAGCAGAGTACAGAGGCATAGCCTTAGGGGTTGTGGAGTTGATATGGCTGAAGAACATGCTGGTGGAGCTGAACCTTGACCAAAGGGCCAAGATGAGCTTGTGGTGCGATAACAAGTCAGCTATCAGCATCGCCAACAACCCAGTTCAGCATGACAGAACTAAATGCATCGAGATTGATAGAATCTTCATCAATGAGAAGCTGAACAGTGGGCTACTGGAGTTAGGCTATGTTCCAACTAAGGAGCAGGCTGCAGACTGCTTGACTAAAGGGCTTAGCTAAGTAGATCTAGCTAGAGGGTGTGACAAGATGGACTTAATAGATATCTTTCGTCCATCTTGAGGAGTGTTGAGAAGATAATGTAATTAAGGAATATTAGAGGGGTTTTGTGTAAATGTGTGTGTGAGGTGTAAGGCTATATAAGCCAAGCCATTTTATCAGTGAAAGAAATCCTTTTGAGCCCTATCCTTTCAATAGATACGGATACGGATATACCTCGGTAAGGAAAATCCATATCCATATCCGCTAAATTCGGATACGGTTACGGATATACATACGGATATATAAGAGGATATGCATGCAGATACAAAACGAATATGAGAAAACTAGATAGTATTGAGAAAAACATAGTTCACATGATACAAAGAGTTCGTTAATATGTTCATTATAACTGAGAAGTTAAGATTAGACATCTTGATCATCAAAATTAACCACAAATCCATAATCTAAGAATCAAAACTATCGTAAGAGTATGACTAATATGTATTCAGATATTTCGGATACGGATACAGATATTTTACTACAAAACCATATCTGTAACCATATCCTATCGGTTATAGATTTGAGTAACTATATTTGTATCCTATCAAATATGGTTACGAATATTTCTTCGGATACGGTTATGCTTTAGCACCCCTACTGACAACATTTGATACAAACTGCGACATACTTGCAGGTTGTAGGTCAATTACAACAATCCAAATGCCACAATTGCATTATATTTGGCAATAATGTCACTTTTTATTTTACCAACCAATCCTCTACTTAAAAAAGACCGTAAATATAACAATAGAAAACAGAAAAACAAGGGACAAACAAATTAGGCAAAAAAAGATGTATGAAAAGAAAGTAAAAGAAAAGTTAGTTCTAAAAGGATTGGGAGAAATACGCCTACATGTTACATCAATTTAGGAAGTCCTAAGATTGTGCGTATGAAATGGCAATGATAAGGCAATTGTGACAATGTACGGACAACTACAAGATTTTAAGATTCCATGCAAAACAGCCTGGGAACATATCACATCATTCCATATACTCTATAAACACATTGCAAAAATATCAAAATAAAACATTTTAATTGATATAAGAAAGGAAGTAGCATTATCTTCAAAAAGCGTGACTAGGAAGTTTGCTCTCTTCAATATTACCAGGAGAAAGTGGGTGACCTTGACTATTTCATCAGAAGCATGAAGAAAATGTGAGGCAAGGAAATTCTCATTCTAAAGAAATAGTGAATTAAGATTACAGGACGGTAATTTCTTATAAAGCAAGGAACCTCCATTAAACATGCAATAAACAGGACCCAGTTGACTTATTTTCTCCACCTCATCAAGGTTCACGTGACTTCATGTGAAGAGAGTATTACAAACAATCCAATTTTCAAATAACAACCAGACGAGCAATTCAAGAAATTATATGAAGATAATAGATAAGCTAAATTTCTGTTGTGATGCTACAGATCCTTGAAACCAGCATTATTGCAAAAAAAAAAAGTAAAACAAGAAAGTTTACTTATTCAAGCTTCCTGTTCAGTATTTATGACTTTGTGAACTTACTTCTCAAAAAGAAGTAAAATTATGGATCTGTTTGTCAACAAGAATACTGTATTCAAAGCATAGGGAAAATGAAAAAGATCCACATCAAAGCAAACTTACAGTAAAGCATCATCCATATTGTAATCTGTAGTTGCATCAATGTCACCGACTCCCCTTCCTTCAGAAGGAGGATGGCTAGTAGCATTGGTCATGGGAATTCCATTTTTTTCCTGCTTTGTCTTCCATCCATCAACCCTCTCCTTCCATGCAACATTGCCAAAACCTCCAGAAAACTCCCTCGACGGGTTAGCTGCTTATCGAGGAGAACATGCATATAAATATACATAAAAACACAGTGTTTCAAGAACAGAAAAGCAATAACATGTAAACAACATACGTGAGTGATTCACATAAGGCAGAGGATGCACACGCTTCCCACCAGCGCCACCTGCGGGAGACATATCAGGAGATGCTCCAGGCAATTCTCCCGAGACCTGCAAAGGAAACATATAAAAAATAAAACCACATATGCCAAGGCACATTCGTTACGACAACAAAAAAGACATATCCAAAAATTTTGGTGTTGATCCATTAAGTTCTATTAAGGATCATCTCCTCCATTAAATTTAATTAATTTCATAAGCAAAAGAAGTTAAGTTCCATGTATAAAAAATATACCGGCTGGCTATGTGTAAGCAGAGGAATGTGATTCCGAGGAATCTCTCCACTGTCATACTTTGGAGGCCCAATATCCTCCCCTCTGCCATAGTTTGTACGCCAGCTCAGCAATATCCTCTCGGCGATCTTCTGCTTCTGATCCTTCCCTCCTGAAGGATAATTGTAATCACTCACATCATCATCATCCCCATCATCTCCTTCCTCACCACGAATCACCGGGCTCCCTAACAATCAAGACAATTCTCAGTACACATTCTATGTCCAAAATGATCAAAATGAGACCTTAATGTCAAAAACCAAACCTTTGCGTCTCTTGTACTTGGTTTTGCACTGTGGGCAAGATTGATTGCCATCCTTCCTCTCATACTCATAACACGGGCGGCACACGGGGAATCCACAGACGTCGCAAGCAACGAAAAGCTCGCCGTCGGCGTTACTGCCAACGCCATCGCCGCAGATCTGGCAGACTTGCTGGGCTCCAGTAATCTTTCCATGTTTCTTCATTACAACCAAAGTTATAACACTGAATCAATGCTAGAAGCTCAAAATTTCCAACTAAGGAAGCTACATTGAAGCTGAGGTTTGATTAAGAATTAGATCTTTCAAGTCAATGCATGAGCTTTCATCCAAATTACAAAAAAAAAGCATATCAAATTGACGACATTTGAGCTGAGACCAATGAAAAATATACCGACCCCAATCTCGCCGTCGACCTCCATTGACTCCTTTGGAGTTCCTCAACAGATCCAAGTGAAGAAGAGCTCGAATTTCACCGGATCTTTCTTCAATTTGACTTCATCCCGGCCAAAATTTGAAACCCTAACTCGTTAAAAAAAACACAAAACCAGAGATCCCAGTGAATCCGACTAGACCTGACTCCGTACCAAATAATTCGCAGGGTGTTCGATCAATTGCCTCACAGAGAGAGACGATGACGATCCCTCTACAAACTGCAGCGGCAGCAGCTCTCCGTCTCCGCCTATAGAGTAATAAAAAGGGGGGGAGAGAGAAAGAGAGAGTGATATATAATATAATATTTAAATTATAATAAAGAAAGAAAAAGAAAAATGGTAGCTTGGAGTGAAAGCGACGTCGTAACCGTTATAAAAGGATCAATTTTTGGACGCAGACATTCTCCCTCTGCCCCTCTCAAACTGCGAAAGCGGAAGGGGGAGAAATTTGCACGGAGGTCCGATGAAGTTTCCATATTTACAGGACGAGGACCCGAAAAATACGATAAAGTGGTTCATAAAAATCTCAATAGTAATAAGAAAGTACTAATTTAGCGATATTTTGATAAAATTGTCAGTTCGCTTGGCATCGTTTAAATTCCATAAATGACATGTACGAAAGGGGCAGTTGAATCTACTACTTGGGTAAGAGTTACAAAAAAGTACATGAACTGTGACTTTTATGCAAAACTTCCAAATAAAGAAAGAGGAAAAGAATTATCAATTTTATACTTTAAAATATCTGAATTCCTGTGAGCGCCTATATTTTAGCTGAGACTTTCGTCGGCGTTGCGCACTCAGCCAAAAGCGAGCCCAGTGCTGATAAAGTAGGGCCTACACAGCTGACCGTGGGTGAGAGAACGCACACGATTTCGTAATGCTGAGTTGGCAGTAGAAGGTGCGAGGGAGCAGCTGTTTTGGTTTTGTGAAGAGACAGCGGACCGACCGACGCTCCGTTCTATTGGAGGGTATTTTGGTCAGCGCGGTCGGTTGGGCATTTGAGCCATTCTCTGCTAGAACAATTTTTTGAAACAGACCCATTTCAAATTTTTTTTTTAAAACCGACCCTTTTTTTTATTTACCAAAACCGATCCGATTTTGTGATTAGCAGTCTAATTAACTTCCTAAACAGTCGGGGTTGGCAACCCCGACTATTTAGGACATTAATTTTTAGGGTTTAAGACTTCTAATTAGGGTTTAACACCCTCCTAAATAGTCGGGGTTGGCAACCCCGACTGTTTAGGAAGGTAATTAAACTGCTAATCACAAAATCGGGTCGGTTTTGGTAAATAAAAAAAATGGTCGGTTTTAAAAAAAATTTGAAATGGGTCTTTTTCAAAAAATTGTTCTTCTCTGCTATTGACTCTCAGGTCTCGCCTCCGAGTCCGAGGTCACCTCGTTTTCTCCCCGATTCGGATTTACCTGTCATAGGACGGGAGCCAGAGTAAGTTAGGGTCTTCCTTTATTTTTTAAAAACGATTTTTCTTTACTTTTTTGTGTTTTTGTTTTTATAGAAATTATTTTTTGTATTTGTTTCACCAAAAAATATGGGGTGAAAATACTTTCCACCACTTTTCGTAGATTAGTTCAACTTGAAAAAAAAAAATTTGATGTGTAAATAGATTTCCTCGTTTTCTAGGTTTCGTTTGGATACTATGGTGTTTTTCTTGTTGTGTTTTTGTAAAAAAACACAATGGTGTTGTGTTCTTACCTTAAAATCTATCTATCTACCCCTTAAAAGAGGGAGTTCCAAAAAAACTTTTCATAGCCCAAAATATCCTTCAACTGTTATAAATATAACAAATTTATCCCTTTTTATCATTAAACAGAGTTGAGAAATTGGGAGCCCTAGCATCCGTTCCTCCATCGGTTCGTTCCTCCATCGGTTACGACTTCGTAGCAGCCACCATCGGTTACGCTTCAGCTCCGGCAACGCACTCCCACAACGATGAGTAGTATTGCCCTCATCATCACCGTACCTCCTCTGCTATCATCTCCTCACTTCTCAGATTTTGGGCATCGCTTACGGTCACGAAAGACTCTTTGACGAAGGTATGATTTGATCCTTTTTTAAATTTTACTTTTGATTTTTAAATGTGTTTTCATCACCGCCTAAGGATCAAACTCCGGCGACAACTCATGTCATTTCTCTCTTAAATTTTTTATTTCTGTCGTTAGATTCTCTATGCGTATGTGAATTTTCTTGATTAATAGATTTCAACTAACATTAGCTATTATATTTTCCTACAATGTCGTTTGATTATGTGTAGAATTTGTTTCCTTTTTTGTTTTTTTGGAGTATTTGGTTATTTGTTGGTGATTGCTGGAAGAACATCTGTCGCCTGTGGAGTATTTTTGGTGCTAGAATATGTACTTGAAAATACCGTAAAACATAAAAAATAATTAATGAATGAACAGTCATTCTGGAATTATTGTAATCTTTTGGTATTCTATTTGTTAACTGTGTATCTGATGTTGTCCATAGAAGTAAAAAAGTTGGCTTTAGTTGATGATGAAATCTTGGACAGCTGAGCTAATATTTTGACAATCTATTTTTCAAGGAGTCTGCCATCTGTTTGAGAAAGTTACATGTCATACCAACTGGGCACTTATGACTTTATCAGGTTTCATTATGTTTTGCTCGCAGGATTCTCCTGTCGTCTTTGTGTTCAAGTCGCTAAAAATGAAGAACCATGAATATGCTGCAAATTTAGCTCTTTTAGTTAATATTTGCTCTTATACAAGGATGCCTACTTTCTTATTGACTAACAATTTCAAGAATTTTAATGTGCTGAATTATCAAAAATCAAGGCAGTGAGTATGGTAAATTGCATGATTGACATCAATGCCTTACTCTTAATAACACACACTTAGTATAAAGGGTCTATTCACAATTAACCCTATTCTCCTTCTGTAAACATTTTATTTCTCATCTGTACCTCTTTCCAAGCAAAGCTTTTCATTTCTGCTCTTGGTAAAGGAACTGTAGAATCACATTTATGTGTGGCATTTTTTTTCAATGTTGTGTGGTTTAATAATTCGGTTGATCTTTTTTTTGCATATAGAGGTTAATTAACGATGATGTGGAAAAGGTTAAAAGCTTTCATGTGGATACAATTGTTCCTTTCCGAGAAAGATTGAAAATACTTGGGCGTGTAGCTAATTTGGAGGATCTTCCCTTGAGTGCAGCAGAGAAAACACTGATGCATAAGTACAACAAAAAGCCTTTGTTTTCTTCTCCTCACCATGAATTTTATTCGGTAAGCTTATATCTGCACCACCAATTGAGTGATTAATATTATTTTCTGTAGAGATAAAATGATTAATATTATTCTTAGAAATTTAATGTGTTTTCTGATTTTATCAAACAATTTTCAGTTAAGAGAAAGTTCATATTTTTGTTTCATTGTGTTCTATTTCTTTTGTCATTTACTTATCATCTATCAGAGGCTGCCAAAAATCATCCTAATCATTTGTCTAGCAGAAGCTTATATTTAGGAGCATTATGAACATGTTGTACATATTTTTATGCTGTATTTGTGTGCCTTTCTCAAGATTTTCACTTGATGATTTGTGTGGTCAATTTTTCCTACTGATGTACAGTAAAATTCTATCTACTTTTCCTTTAAGGTCTTGATTAATGTTAGCAAACTCAAAGTTTGTTCCTTAACAAATTTGGTACCTAATAACAAGTTGAATTCTGACAGGTTAAAGATGTTAGATGGAATGCTGAACTTGGAGGTTAGAAGATGGAATCCACTTTGGTGGAATATTTTGCTGATGAATTTAATAAAAAATTAGGAAATGGTGTTGATGTAAGGAAGTCTCCAAAGGCGATAGCTAAATTGAAGAAACAAGTTAAACGAACCAGGAAATGGTGTTGATGTAAGGAAGTCTCCAAAGGCGATAGCTAAATTGAAGAAACAAGTTAAACGAACCAAAGAAATCTTAAGCGCAAACACAGCTAAATTGAAGAAACAAGTTAAACGAACCAAAGAAATCTTAAGCGCAAACACAACAGCATCAATTTTAGTTGAATCGCTGTACGACGATATTGATTTCAGGTAGGAAGAATGTTGATTACATTCGGATATTATACTTAGAAGTTAATTTTATTTGTTTATTGTTTATACGAAATTAGTTTCAAGGTTGCTCTGTATTATGCTGATTCACTTAGTAACTTATTTGTTTATTGTTTATACGAAATTAGTTTCAAGGTTGCTCTGTATTATGCTGATTCACTTAGTAACTTTGATACCCAAACTCTTCTAATGTGCCATTTTTGGCATGCTTTTTTCTGCTTTGTATCCTCTCACCTTGAGACACTTAACACTTAAAAGCTACCAGAATATCTTTTCTTTATCACATTGTTGCAATATATTTTTCAATTGATAAATTGGAGAGATCATTTTTTTGATCAGAGAGGTCCTAATTGTTGTAGATAACATGCATGTGTGTATGCATGTGTTTGTGGTTTATTTGGTTTTGCATGTCTGGCAGTGTTTGATGTTGAACCAAACGCCTGGTTGTGTTGAATGTGCTTCAGATTCTTGGTCGTACATGTATTTCTTATGTCAATTTTTTAATTAGTAATGAGAACTTCATGTTTCTACTTTCTGTTTTATTTTTTTGGCTATATTTTATTGCTTTTTTCTTCTGAAGAAGCTTCCAGCCCTGAAAGCTGAATCTTTAAGTGCCGGTTTGCTCCTGGTTTTACTTCCCACAACATTTCTTTGTTTTTTTTTCTTTGGTCTGAGCGAGGACAATTAGGACTCCATACTTACTGTCCTGTTTGATGTTCAAAACTTTTGCTTGGTGTTTCCTTTCTTCCAGAAATAGCTGGTGTTTCTTTTCTTCCAGAAGTAGCTATGCGAATTACTAGGTTGCATCATTATATGCAATCTAGGAACCAGAAAATATTTTTTATGTAGAAGTTAGACAATTCTTGGAATTCTGGATTAACTATTTGTCCTTTTTCTTAAATGCAATTTTAAAATTTATTTCTGACTTTTAGAAACTAGACAAGATCAGAAGATCCCCTCAAAAAATTAGTTGACTGGGCTTCGTGAAGCATGGTGTCTATGTTGTGTTACTGTAGTCTGCATCCTCCTTGTGTTATATTTTCTCTGCATCCTCCTTATATTATATTTTCTCTTGAATTTCCAAGCTTGTTATTTTTTGAGGTAAATTTGTGGCATATTTTGTTTATACCAATTCGGTTCTGATTGTGTTTCCTATCCATTTTTGTCTGCCAGGAGCTCAATAACTCGTGAAAAAATTGAAGAACTTTGTGGGGATTTGTGGGATCAAGCCCTTGTTCCTCTTAAGGAGTTACTCAAGCACTCTGGCTTGGGGGTTGATGATATTTATGCAGTTGAGCTGATTGGTGGAGCAACTCGTGTGTCAAAATTACAGGTTAAACTGATTTTGCAATTCTTTGGACTATATATTTGT